ATAGATAGATAGATAGATGATATAGAACATTAGAAATTATTTAGATAGATAATTATATAATCCACACCAACCACCTATAACAATTTGCCACAGCTGGTAAATATGGACCCTGTCATCTGAATTACGGGTGATTTGGGTGAAGTTTATATTGTGTTGACAATTGATAATGAAATATGATGTTGATAATGAACTATGTTGAGCTACTGAGCTCACCAGCTTCACTAGGGGTATAGAAAACCACTTCTCAACTTCCTTCCCCCTACAATCCCCCACTTTTAATTCAGAGGAAGAAGAAAAATGAATTAACCTCCCACTTCAACTTGGTGTAAATGTGTATCTTCAAAGGGAAGATGGCCTTTGGTCCGGAATAAGGGGAATATGTTGGATTCAACATAACGTACTTCCTGTGTTCATACCATGTTGTTCAGTCAATCTCTTGCTTTCTTTCAGATCTATTTAAAGGAGATTTTGAGAGAAATTGGCATCTACAATTTTAAGGGGCCACACAAAAGTACTTGGGAACTTAAACCAGAATACAGGCATTATCAAAACGAAGATAAAAGCGATTAGCAGCCAGGAAGCGGTCTCAATTTTGAAATCAGGAAAAAGAAACAATTCACCGTTGAAAAGAGTAAGTTTTTCTAATCAGCCCCGTCTTCATTGCTTTTAAAAGATTTTTTCTGGAATGCTACCTAATTTTTTGTGTGGTATCTTTATTGCCTACAAATTATTTATAGAATAAACTTGTATTTGGATTTTTAACCTATGGCCCTTTCTTGTAATCCTGCATTTTATAAAAATATAATCATGTTAATAAATCGAGTAGAAGTTTTATTTAATCCCAGGCTGAGTTTATCCTATTTATGACTAGCCTCTTGAGTCAGTCCATATATAGAACAATAGAGAAATCTGATAATAGTTGAAAGACAAATCGATACATTTATTCTAAAAAATGGTTTACCTCTAAGGATTTAAGTTATACTTGTGTTTTTGTTGCAAATGACACCGCTACGCCTTTGAAAACTGTTTTCCAAGAACATACAAGTACTATGGGATGGGGGAATAGCCTTTACATCAGGGGTGTCCAAACTTGGCAACTTTAAGACTTGTGGACTTCAACTCCCAGAATTCCTCAGCCAGCAAAGCTGTCCACAAGTCTTAAAGTTGAAGTCCACAAGTCTTAAAGTTGCCAAGGTTGGACACCCCTGCTTTACATGGTTGTTTATCAGAATAATTAGAAGTTGGACACATTTTTTGGTTGATCATAAATAGTTTTTAGAATAAGCCAGTTTGTATTTAGACAAACTGCTAGTGAAAGGAAGGGAAAAAAAATAACAGGATCGCAAAAGCAGACAATTCTGGACATAACGCAACGTTCTGTTTCCATTGAGAACCCAAATCATCTGGTGTTTCTCTTGCAGCCTTCAAAATTAGTTCTGGAAGGCTGGTGAAACACAGAATAACAGAGTTGGAAGGGACCTCAGAGGTCTTCTAGTCCAGCCCCCTGCTCAAGCAGGAGACCCTACACCATTTCAGAGAAAGGGCTGCCCAATCTCTTCTTCAAAGCCTCCAGCGATGGAGCAGCCACAACTTCTGTAGGAAAGTCCTTCTACTGGTTAATTGTTCTCGCTGTTAGGAAGTTTCTCCTTAATTCCAGGTTGCTTCACTCCTTGATGAGTTTCCATATGTTGCTTCTTGTCCTGCCTTCAGGTGCTTTGGAGAATAGTAGTTTGACCTTAGTTATTGGAAGACTACTATCATCCCTAGTCCGTCTTTTCACGAGACTAAAGGTAAAGGCTCCCCTCACACATATGTGCTAGTCGTTTCTGGCTCTAGGGGGCGCTGTTCCTCTCCATTACAAAGCCACAGAGCCAGCACTGTCCGAAGACGTCTCCGTGGTCATGTGGCCAACATGACTAAATGCCTTTGAAGGCGCACGGAACGCTGCTACCTTCCCACCAAAGGTGGTCCCTATTTTTCTACTTGCATTTTTTTTTTTTACGTCTTTTGAACTGCTCGGTTGGCAGAAGCTGGGACAAGAAACGGGAGCTCACTCCATCATGCGGCGCTGGGGTTTCGAACCGCCGACCTTTCTGATCGACAAGCTCAGCATCTCAGCCCCTGAGCCACCACGTCCCTTTCACTAGACTAGCCAAACCCAGTTGCTGTAACTAAGCTGGGATGGAAGCCCCCAGGTCTGGATCCCAAGAGTGGGTGGGCTTCTGAACCTTTTCTTCTCCTTTCTTCCTTTGTTTGGCTCCTTGACCAAACTGGCAGCGAATCTTGTCTTGTGCATTTACAAAAGTCTTGTTTTTTTAATGACTTGGTTCCTCCTTAGCCATCTCCCTGAGGCAGGGGTGAATTTGGTGGCCCCTGAGGTCCAAAAGGTTGGCGACCCCTGGCCTAGATGGTAGGAATTTGGTAGAGAGATAGGCCTTGTCTCCCACCTTAAAGTCCTTATGGCTTCATGCGCTTTTTATCAGTCTCTTTTTTGTATGCTTCTCTAGCTTCCTTTAAACTTTTTCACCGATAACTCTCTTTCAGTGATGCAGTCAGTGGAGTTGCTACTCAGGGGGTAAGCTACAAAGCCTTCTCCTGTGGCCACTTTAAATGGCGTGAATCCTGTGCTACTGAGTTATGATAGCAACCTCCACAAAAGGGAGGAGGGCCATCCAATTCTCCTGTCGGTCATTAATATAGAATCTGAGGTATAGGTCCATGATGGCGTTGGTTCTCTCGCAGCCCCTGTTAGTAGCTGAATGATGCGGTAATTTCAGAGCTGGCTTAAATGTCAAACCTGCCCCAGTCTTAAATGTTAAATCTGTTCCAATCTAAGCGCAATCACCAGGCTGAAAAAAAAAAAAATAACCAGTCTGTCAGCAGTGTTAAAATTATTTGCAGACATTTAGTCCTTGGCATAGCTGCTGTACCGTTTCATAGTTATTGGAAGGTAATTGTGATGACAGTTGTCAAGCTTTATTTCTTAGATTGCACATCCAAAGGATGCAACGGCACACAACGGTTCCTGGTTATTCCAACAGTATCAAAATGGTTCCTTTTCCTTAAATGGTTTTTCTTTTTCTCTTAAAATTTATATAAAAACGTATCCAATATGTAAAGAACATTATATAATAATCATTTCTGCTTTTGGAAGCATTAGTTCTAATCAGAGTTCAAATAAAATTGTTGAATTAAAAATAAATAAATAGAAGTTTGATTCTACCGTGTTTCCCTGAAAATAAGACCCTGTCTTATTTTTTGACCCCCCCAAAAGGCACCAGGTCTTATTTTTGGGGGGGATGTCCTCCACTGACTCACCTCACTTGCGCGCGTCGCCCCCTGGCCTCCTTTTAACTGTCAGAGGCCTTCAGGAACTTCTTCTTCTGTGGCCGGCAAGGCTTTCCTGAAGGCCTCTGCAGCCGTAACAGCTCTGGATCGATCCTGAGCTTTCTTATCAGCTCCAGAGGCCTTCAGGAAAGCCTTGCCAGCCACAGAAAAAATGGGCCGGCGAGGCAGGTGTTGGGGTGTGTGAAGCCTGGCTACAACTGTCCAAAGGTAAGTAGTAGGGCAGCTCCACCCACCCCGTCCCCATCCTAGCTTAAATTTTACCCATCCATTCGATTGGGCGGGATCTTAATTAGGGCTTATTTTGGCGGGTAGGACTTATATTGGACACACATGTAAAAAAATCAAGCTAGGACTTCCTTTCAGGGTAGGTGGTATTTTCGGGGAAACAGGGTACTACTTAATAAAATTTTGCATTTCCCGTTAAAAGAGAGATATTTGTCTAGCCACAGGCCTCAAGAGCCCCACATTGGTACAATAAAATTGGTTTCGCCGATTTGCTTGTCAGAAAGGGGCACAAGCTGTGGGATCCCAACCGTCAGATATGATGGGCTTAAGCCAAAGGATGCAAGGCAAAGGGAGATGATGACTGCCACTAGAATAGGTGGAGTTCCTGGAAGACACTTGTGTCAGGATTCCAGCGACCGCCCTAATGAAATCATGAGCCTCGAGCCAAACTTCAAAAAACTTGAAAGGGTTTATTAGGAGCAACATACTGGCATGACCTGTATGAAGCCGACTCTGAGATACGTACCTCTGGGTGTATCATAATTCAGATTGTCCCACGGAACATGTTCATGGCCTGGATATCATCGTTCATTCGCCGTATGCTCCTTCAGGGTTACACACACACACACACTCTTTCTTATGGAAACTTGGAATGTTTTACAAGTTGACAACAAGAAGTTGCCTGCAGCCTTACAGATAAAGAGATTCCTTGATAGCAACTCTTTTCTATGACAACATTTAGAAGTACATTATTGAGATCAACTCTCCTTTTATGGGTAAATCTGCATCACACAGCAACACTTCCACTGGACCACAAAAACCCCATGGCTTTTGTCTCCAACTACCTTCCCCAAGATCTAATGAAACCAAGGATAACATTGACACCTATAGGCTTCAGATGTAGAGGAAATGGGTGGGCCAAACGGTGCTTACAATGGGGTGAGCTACAAATAATAGATCAGAATTGCACCTACCTCTTTAGTGTAGCTGATTGGAGGATAAGCCAAGGGAGTTATGACCCATAAGTCTATCTTCTATTGGTGGCAGGGTTGGGGTAACACTCTCTTCTATCAATGTAGTGTTGTAGTAACACGCTTCTATTGGTGATAAGGGTGTAGTAAGGCTGTCTCTTCTATTGGTGGCAGAGTTACAGTAATATATTGGTGGCAGGGTTGTAGGCTGTACTGGTGGTAGGGTTGTAATGCTCTTTTCTGTTGGTGGTAGGGTTGTAGTAATTCTCTATCGGTGGTAGGAGTGTAGTAACTCATTGGTGATAGGGTTGTAGTAACACTACCTCTTCTATTGGTGGTA